CCTCTCTCCGGACGTCCCCTCCTCTCCCGCACCCGTGCCCACCCTACTCGTGACTCTCCCTCTCCCCAACGCTTGACTCGCGCGCTCATTTCCTCTCCCTGCCGCAAGAACCCTCGTTCGCTGCTCGGTTGTGGGCAGAGGATGGTGTGGTGTCCCCTGTTTCTCCGATGGATGGTGACCTTGTTGGTTGTTGTCTCTGCAGAGCCTTCTTTTTTCTTTCAGGCATGTACGAACAGAACAGATTCCTTTCTTTTTCTCATGTTCGTGAGTACAGAGCATTGTCAAGACTACTCAATTCAGGTAAATATATATACTCATCTGTCTTCATACTGTGTTGTGATGAGAACCATGATAGAATAAAAGGCATCCTGCAGTGTTGCCTAAGTTGTAAATAGTATATTATTAGTGAGTACTTGTTTTTTTTTTACTATCGGCTTTTCAAATTATTCATGGCAACAATTATACACAATCAAAGTATATACAGGTAATAATCATGAGCTATGATTCATTGCTTCATGGAAGCAATCGGTTATCATGGTTCTGACACCCTTCCTTTTTCTCCCAGGCAGTATACTATTTCTTTTTCTCCCGTAGCGTTAGCATGGGAAATATACTTGATAGAAGTAATATTCCATCGACAACACTGAGTAGGGTAAGAGGGTGATTCTAATAAAAGAAGTACTAATTTGAGATTGCTAGATGAAGACTTTAAATGAGTTGAAAGTTAATAAATTTAGACAAAGGCATTACGATGTTCTGTTATATTTTCTAGTCATGCTCTGTCTTCTCTTGTTTAAATAAAAAATATTCGTAAGAAGTCACTGTGCAGCCGCAATTGAACTGCAGCAATAACTTTTTTTTTCAAATCACAGTTTATATTTGGAGTTGAGACTGGTGGTTGTTGTGCAGGTATATTTGGAATTGAACTGAATGAAAGGATCTCTACCAGCAAAAATGAAAGGATCTCTGCTACTAGCACATTTTATTTGCCAAGAGTATAGATTTTTTTTTATCGGCTGTTATTTTCCTGTTACAAAGGGGGGCATTGTTGGTATGCTTAGTGTTTCCTGCCTGCCAATTAAAAAAACTGCTCTCATGTATTCATTGTTTCACTGCTCTGTAAATCTGAAATGTTTTTTTTTCTCTTTACATACTGTAGTCTACTAAGGAAGTTGGAGTATTTTTATCTCGCATGTGAAGATGTATTTTACCCCATATTTTGCTGCTCAACAAGGTAGGTGTCCAAAAAAACAGAAAAATTAACAAATTAGAATCCAATATTAGAACTGATGCTTCATGGTTCAGATCATTTTGATTTGAATTCCTTTGTTCTTGTGTTTGTGTAGAAAGTAAACATGGCCGGGTTCATTAGGCATTACAAGCTCCTCGAAATGGTTGCTGAGCAAGGAGTGCATTTTCATTAAAATGTACTCAACCTTTGTCGTGCCTATTCTGAATTTAGGCCAGTGCATGGTGATGGAGAGTGTTTCTATAGGAGCTTCATATTTTCCTACCTTGTAAGTGTCCTCCTCCCTTTTCCTTTGAACAACATTTATGTTTAGTGGTTAACACAATAGTTTGTGCCACTCTAAAACAGGAGCAAGTTCTTCATAGGCAGGATACACATGAGGACCACCGTCTTCTTGCTGCTGTTAAAGGGGTGGCTAGGCAACATGCACGCCTTGGGTGGGCTTCTGAATTTTCCAGGAGCCACAAAGTAAGCTCTCACCTTCACCACGTTTGGCATTTCTGAGATAAACATGACTTTCTTCAAGTTACATCAACATGCAAGCTGGATCTGGCATCTCACTTTCCTTTTTTTTTCTTTTATCGTTTGCAGGATATGCACAATTGTTTCACCATAGTGGCATAGTGGCATAGTGGCATGCCATCACAATTTTACGTGTTGACATATGTTCAAATATGAATTTATTGAAAATGTAACAATCTAATGCTAATAAAAATACGATATAATTAGAGAAGTAAAAGAGATCATGCTTCTTCCCTACACCAGTATAATGCACCCATGATGGTTTGTTTGGTCATCTGATGAAATCACTAATGTTTTGTTTCTCCTACTTGCTTATAATAAATATTTTCTTTCTCAACTACTATCCTATAGCTGTTGCTTACTGGTAGAAGCTGCACAGACAAGTGTTATGTTGGTTATATCTGTTCATACCTTGTTATAAATGGTCAGTATTGTGTAAGCATTATTGCAAAAATACAGTGACTATATCTGATTCTTTTAGGCATTTAAGAAGCTGATAAAGAAAGTATTGAGATGGAAGACACACAGCGGATGGAAAGCATGTACCAACGATTAACATGGGTGAAGACTTCTAGATATTATCTATTATATAATATCTAGATATTATTGATTCATGAAAATAAATATGAATTTTATTATTAATTGAATTATGGTTACACTGTATCATCATGTATTGTTATATTTTTAATACAATATACATATGATTCTTTTATAATATCTTGTTGATTGGCAAACAAATATTTTTTACAAATATTTTAGTTATTTGATTTGTCCGTAGTGTAGCACGTGTATTATACTATTTCTATTTCTATAATATACTGAAAATGATGTAATGAATTGGAATCTCTCTTAATTGTCTTGTTGTACTCTATTTATGTGACGAAGTATCACCGTAATTTGGTTATTTTCATGTGCATTCCTGAAATGAAGCCGTGACGTTATCACGGGCACTATACTAGTATAGACTAGGACATGAGAAACCGAATGAATATTTAGATATCATTAAAATATCTCTAGAAACTTTCAAAAAATAGATTGAGCTCTAAAATATATTAAGAAAACTCTAGAAAATTCTCTACACATTTTAACTGATGTCTAAATGAGTTTTAAAAACTTTTCATAACAAAAAATATAAGATAATACAAGCTTGAATCCAACATACATTAATGTTGAATGTATTCACGTTATTCATTCATGTTGGTTGCATCTCGTATTTTTTTTGTGTAAAGTTCTCATGAAGTATTTAGATATAGATTAGAATTTTTTGGGAATTTTCTAGATCTTTTACCATTTTCTAGAATTAAATATGATTTTTGGATCTTATAAAGATACTTTCACAAGCTCTAAATGTTTTATTTTAGTTTTTGGTGTCCTTCTATTGCTAATATATTTTTGCAATTTTTAGTAGCTTAAAGACATTTTTCGTGGTTTAAAAACCTTATTAGACATTTACTAAAGTTTTCAACTAAAAAAATGTTGAAACCAACTTGAAAACCACTTCTAACGAGCACACAAAGCTAATTTAAATGGCTTGGAGAGTCGAGGGTCTAAGGTATCTGTATTAAAGTTGAAAGAGGAAAAATCTACTCCGACAATAGTTCAGTACTAATTCTAAGGGAGGGGCTAAGCTATTTAGGTGAAACTTAGAGTACACTAGTTCTAAAATGAGTTAAATGCATCGTGGGTACTTAAACTTTTCTCGCATTCTCATTCAGGTCCTTTAACTTTTCAAATGGTTATTCTGAGTTTACTCTAGGTTCAATTGTGGACCTGAATTCGCATTTAGAACGAACCACTTGAAAAGTAAAGTACCTAAATGATCACTTAGAGAGTTCATGGAATTAGACGAGAATACGAGAAAAGTTTAGAGAAGCACAGTGCATATCACTCTTCTAAGATGATGAAAAACGTGTTGAAAATAGCATTAGAGACCTGAGACTCTAATCAAGTCCATAGGCTAAATAAAACGGTGTGACTCAACCCTCTCACATCGATGCCACACATGAAAGTGTTCATGGCGACGTTGGCGTGTCTATTTAGCCATGTCAATGTATGTGGTATGATATTATTAGTCGTTACATAACTCTAGCATAATGAAAATGGCTACCCTCTCTGTTTCAAATTATAAGTCGATTTGATTTTTTGGTACATCAAATTTGTTATATATTTAGATATATATTATGTCTAGATACATAACAAATTTGATGTATCAAAAAAAGTCAAAGTGACTTATAATTTAGAACGAAGAGAGTAGTTTTTAAAATTTTAAGGTAGTATAGGCTATTATTAAAAAATATTAGTTTTTTGAGTTAAAAATCTCAAATACACCGTGCCGCCAAGCTCACGACCTTCCTTCATGTCAACCTCTCCTCTTCTCCTCTAATCCAATTTGTTCTAGGATCCAGGGGTTTAAGCCCTGTTTGGATAACAAGGGTTTAGAGGGTTTGAGAAGAGGGACATAGGAGGAATGTCGAGACTAACATGATAACAAGGGTTTAAGCCCTGTTTGGATCCATGTGGCTAAAGTTTAGCCCATGAGTCTGTTTTGATCCAGGGGCTAAAGATTAGCTATGTGCCATACTATGACCCATTTGCTCCTAATTAATACTCATGCATAGCCATGCATAGGGATGAGTGGGGGTAATATACGTCTTTTGCCCCACAGGACCACTTTTAGTCCTCTTTAGCCCACATTGGAGGGGCTAATGGAAAAGGAGTGTGTAAAGTTTAGCCCCCACTTTTAGCCCTGCTGTTTGGATCCATGAGGGCTAAAAGGTCACTAAAAGAGGTGGGCTAAACTTTAGCCCCGTGGAGCTAAATAGGGCCTTAGTGTTAGGTCTCCAGGAGATCTAGTCTCTGCTAAGAGCATTTTAGTCCACCTCTTACAAATGACAAAAGTTTCAAATTGGGCATAAAAACTAAACCCAATTTCATTTCACACTATAAAAGAGCGAGTTTTTTTTGAGAGGGGCTCTCGCTCTAATAACCGTTTGATCTATACACCGTGCTATAAGAACATTTGATAAACCAAATGGATAGTAAGGAGCACTGGAGCAGCATGGCTGTTAGAATAGGAAAAGTTGTCTTTCTAGGTGTCAAGGATGCATCAGCAAGCCATGGCAGGACATAGTGACAAAACGGTTGCAAAATGAATCTTGCTCTCAAGGGTGCAAAGCTAACAGTTTCTGTTGCGGCTTGTGTTTTTACCTTGGGTGAGGAATAGGACCTCATGGAGGTCACCCTAACATTCAACTTTTATCCTGAGGTTCTTCAGTTTCATTTGTTAATCCTGTTCATACTGTGCTCATCAGGACTCAAGGTTCAGCTGAATGGCCTTAAGAGCTGGTTCAGACTTCAGACTGGACCCAAGTTGAGCTCAACTTAGATCAGAGTTTGAGCCAAGTCTGGGATTGTTTTTGTATGCTAACTAGAAGTATAGAAGAATACAATTTCTAATTTAAGAATTTTGTTGCTCTGTTGTTCTACAAGAGAACACTTAATTAATTGGGACTTGGCTGCATCCGCATCCCACCTCCTACACTAATCCATTGCATAAGCTGTGGGATGGTATTTTGATTAAGTTGCACCTAATCTGCTCTTTAAATGGCTGGTTGTTTCAATAGCTATTGTGTAAAAACAATGTTTCCCTATACCTTCCTGTATTTAATAATTACCGCTGCTAGATAACTGAACTCGTTTACCGATGAAATGCTGTGAAGTTGTGTTTGTACTGTTGTACAGCTAGGTATGAAATGATGTAACTTACAAGTGGTTTCTTGTAGTCTGGATTTGCAATATTCTTGTCATCCTAGACGGTGCACTCAGTCTAAAATATAGTTTCAACTGAAGATCAAAGTAGACTTTACGAAGCTACAGAAATGAACAGAACAAATTCTTCCTGGACCTACATTTTCTCAATTGTGACTTCACCTCATAGTTATTTATTTTGCTAAATTGATTTGTTTTTTCTATGATGTTACATTAGCAACATAGCTATACAAAAAACTGCTGAGTATACTTATGTCATTAATTCATTTGTTTTTGTCTTTGTGCTTTGTTTGTTTAGTTTTTGTTCTTATTCATTTAGATGTACTATATCCTGAAACGTAGTTAAATTCTAATACTGGTACAATGTGTACTCTGCTCATTCATTAGGTTGACTCAACTGCTTGTGAATCATCAGGACGAGTTACCAACCTTAAGTTCCAGTTGTCATCGTTGGGGAGAGAGAATGTTGAACTTAGGAGGCAGATTAATGAGCTGTCCATGAAACTTCAAATAGCTGGACAAGGAAAAGATGAGACTTTGTACAAGCCTGGTCCGTTTGGAACTATCAAGGCTTTGAGAACAAATCCAACAGTAACCCCCGATGAATCTGTTAATCCGAGGTTAGCCAAGATATTGGAAGAGGTTGCTGTGAAAAAGGAACTCATTGTTGCATTGGCAAACACCAACGTGAGGGAGATGCTTGAAGTTTGGTTTACCAATATCAAACGAGTTGGTATTCCAAACTACCTGGTTGTGGCATTGGATGATAATATAGAAAGCTTATGCAAATCTAAAGGGGTTCCAGTCTACCGGCTTGATCCTGATGAAGGCATCGATAACGTTGCAAAAACTGGTGGAAACCATGCCGTCTCTGGACTTAAGTTTCATGTTTTAAGGGAGTTCTTGCAACTTGGATATAGTATTCTCCTCTCTGACATTGTGTCACACCTAATTTTAAGGATAAAATTGAATGCACAAAACTCGTGTGTGCCCAGGAATCAATCACACACACAAGCTGACAAATCACAATAGTATCATCACGGTGTCTCATACATCAGAGTTATAATAAAACTTAGTCTTATACATCACAGCGGAATAATAAAAAGATGATAAAACTCTCGTGGCCGTCTTCACAGGGAAGGTCAACTGGTGGACCACAAGCCTAATAATCCTCCGGGAAATCCTCATACCCGTTGTTATCTGTTACCCATCCGGGATTTTTATCCAAGTAAAGAAAATAAACAAGTGTAAGTACATTCCGTACTTAGCAAGCTAACATGGGGTTATGAAGCTCAAAAGGTTAGACTCTGGTTAACTGCAGTTAGCATTTTTAATAGGTCAAGCTTTTATTCTCAAGTATTATCAAGTTATGCTTAAGCTCCCATTTAATTCCCATAAGAACATATATTGGAGTCATATGTACCATATATCATCACTAAACAACTTTATAAGATCATCATCAAGTATCCAGTTATTCTGTGAGTTTTCCGGGCCGCTCGTAACCGTGAGCACGGCTGTTATAATAGATTTGTTACCCTCTGCAGAGGTGGTGCACATTCACCATGAGTCGTGATCCCCATATGCCCGGTTAATTACTCCCATGTCACTTCCAAGGTGAGCGGGCAGGGGTACACTATGAAGCCATTTCATAGGTTTCCCTAACAAGTTAGGGGCCGCTAGGTTTCCTTGGCAGGTGTGTGTAGGAACCCCCTTTCCTATGGCACATATCCATCAGCGGCTATACACATAGGAACAGAGGCGGTCCCTATACCCAACGTGGCAAGCCCCATTTACGCCAAAAAGATAACCTCTAACTAGCTAGAAAAGGTCCTATTATTGAGCTAAAGTCGAGCCATATGACTCTCCCTTGCTGTAATCGCTTGTCCCCAAATTTTTGCCGACAGATAAGTCCTTATGGAGGGCCGGGAGCAACATGAACAAAGGTCATTTGCTCTTTTCGCCCTATGGAACAGTTTGTTATACATCATGTCACTCACTTTGTTCCATAGTATTATTCATCAACATGTATATCAAGTTCAGGTTAGAGCACTAGCAATCTACCCATATGCATTTAACCCATAGGAGACAAGGAACAGGATAACAATCACTAGGATGTCCTTACGGGTATCAAAATTAGACACATGCAAATGAGTAATTGCTTAGAATGAAATAGGACATCAAGGAAGGCCCATGTTATACTTGCCTTGGTTCACAAATTGCGTGCTGGTCCTGCTGGTCGTCGAAGAGTTCTTGGTCTCCAACGTTTTCCTCACCGTCTGAACGCGACCAACACGGCAACATACAACATTCCAAAAGCATTCATGCAAAGCAAACATTCCTATCATTAGAACAGTACACCAACAGTATTGAAAACAAGATAAAATGTTTGTAAAATTAACCTACGTTTCGCTACGATCACGTCAACGCGAAGTTCAGTTCAAAACGGAGCTACAATGCGAAAGTTATGATTAAAACGGGTTTTCCAAAAGCCCTATATTTAATTAATTCTAATCATGAAATTAAAAAGTTCCAAACTTGACTAACAGTAGCTCCAACATGTAGCTTATGAAATTACGAAGCTAACGCGATTTGAATGGGTCAATTCGGAGTTAAAACGACAATTCTATAAGCGAAAACAGTTCGAATGGCATTTACAGAAATACTGAAAGCGTACTTTTGACTTAACAAATGAAGTTTACGCTTTCTAAACAGGTTTGCGCATTCGGAGAAATACGCGAAGGACGGCGGGTTAGGACTTAGAAAAATCCAGGGACTCTTTAGCAAATTTACCCCCGAAGGGTATCTTCTATTTCCGCCGTTGATCGCGCGATGGACCGGTTCGGATTAGCTCGGGGGTTTACCACGGAACGAAAGTGACTCGGCGAGGCAAGCCATGGCCGCGTGGAGATCACCGGTATGCTGGGTAGGTAACAGCCTCGGGCCTCGGTTTTCGAATCCGAGAGCACCGGAGAACGAGAGGAGGCGGGCGAACACGCCCATGCCAAGAAATCAGCCGAGGGGAAGGCCGGGCGGCGGACACCATGGCCGTGGCCGAGCATTTGGGCGAAATCGAGCGGCGTAGGGCGCTGCGAGAGGGGCTCGCTCCCTATTTATCGAGGCCGAGGAGCGGAGGGGACGCCCCACGACGCCACGTGGGCGGGCGGCGGTTCTGCAGCCAGCCGCGCGTAAGCGGTTAGGTGAGCCATGGAGAAGGAGGACGATGCCAAGCGAGGGGGGGCCGGGCCGGCAGGCACCGGGCGCGGGGGGGCGGTTGGCGGCCGAGTGGGCAGCGGGGCTTGCTGGGGGAACAGCTGAGGCGCTGCGACGGGCCGGCACGGTCAAATGGGTCAATCATGCAGTCTTTGGGCATGGGAAAGAAATGGCCATGGGGCGAAAGTCCGTGAAGAGAGGGAAGAGGAATTTTTCCTTTTCTTTTTCCAAACAAATTTTCCAAAAGCATTTTAAATACAAATTTCAATTAGATTTTGAACTCATTTGGAATTCGAATCAAAACCATTCATCTCAAAATAAATATGCAACAAGATGTATGCATCACTTGCACTTAACCTTATATTTGATTTTAGTTTTCACAAAATTATTTATTTCCTATATTTCAATGCTCACCAAAATTGCTTAAATAAATCAATTTGGTTATTTTTAGAAAATGCAAATTTAGGGTGTTACAATTCTACCCCCCTTAAGATGAATCTCGTCCTCTAGATTCGGGTGATTGCTTACTCAAACAGGTTGGGATAAGTCTTTCTCAGATCCTCTTCTCTTTCCCAAGTAGCCTCATCCTCTCGTATAACTTGATTCCACTTGCACCTTGCACATCTTTACTTGTTCGCTTCTCGTAACTCTTTTTTCGCAATTTCCAAGATCTTTATCGGATACTCTTCATAAGTAAGATCTTCCTTGACAACAAGTTCTTCCAAAGGGATTTGTTCTTCTGGTACCCTCAGACACTTTTTCAACTGGGAGACATGGAACACGTCGTGCACACCGGACAAGCTCTCAGGCAATTCCAACTGATAAGCTACTTCTCCACGTCTCTCTAGGATCTTAAAAGGTCCTATATATCTTGGGGCTAACTTTCCCTTCATATTGAATCTTCTCACACTTCTCATTGGTGACACTTTTAGGTACACATAATCATCAATCTCGAAAGTCAGCTCTCTTCTGCGAGTATCAGCGTAACTCTTCTGTCGAGACTGAGCTACTCTCAAATTGTCTCTAATCATTCTTACTTGCTCTTCCGCGTCTCTAAGGACATCAGGACCAAACACTTGGGTTTCTCCAGTCTGATTCCAGAACAAAGGTGTTCTACACTTACGTCCATACAACGTCTCGAAAGGTGCCATCTTGAGGCTCTTTTGATAACTGTTGTTGTATGAGAACTCTGCGTAAGGCAGACTCTTATCCCAACTATCACCATACTGAAGTGCACAGGCTCTCAACATATCTTCCAAAATCTGGTTGATCCTTTCAGTCTGTCCATCGGTTTGCGGGTGGTAAGCAAAACTGAAATTCAACTTGGTTCCCAAAGATCTATGTACTTTATGCCAGAATTGCGATGTAAATTGGGTGCCTCTATCCGACACAATTTTCTTGGGAACACCATGCAAGCACACTATTCGTTCCATGTATAACTCTGCTAACCTTGCACCATTATAAGTAGTCTTGACTGGTAAAAAGTGAGCGACCTTGGTGAGTCGATCCACTATTACCCATATTGAATCATAACCTCTTTGAGTGCGGGGTAATCCTACAATAAAATCCATGCCAACTTCTTCCCATTTCCATTCAGGGACCTTCATTGGTTGTAGTAACCCTGCAGGTCTTTGATGCTCAGCTTTCACTCTTTGACAAGTGTCACACAAAGCCACATATTCTGCCACATCTCTCTTCAAACCATACCACCAATACTTTTCTTTGAGATCCAAGTACATCTTGGTACTTCCGGGATGTATAGAATAAGCAGACTCATGGGCCTCTTGCAGAATTGCATCTCGGATAGCTTTCACTTTCGGTACACATATCCTTTTCCCGAACCAAAGAGTTCCATTCTCATCCATTCTGAATCCGGGTGCCTTTCCAAGCACTACATTCTCTGCTATCTCTTTAAGTTTTTCATCCTCCAATTGTCCTTTGCGTATCTCCTGCTCTAATGTAGGCTCTATCACCAATTCCATTGCATTAGTGACCAAGCTCAAGTTGAGATACTCCATTTCAGCACACAACTCTGCTGGCATAGATGTTATCTGAATTCCATTGGCATAGCTCTTTCTACTAAGTGCATCTGCTACGACGTTTGCCTTTCCCGGGTGATAATGTACTTCCAAATCATAGTCTTTGATCAATTCCAACCAACGACGTTGTCTTAGATTTAGATCTGATTGGGTGAAGATATACTTCAAACTCTTATGATCAGTATAGATATCACTCTTATGTCCAATCAGATAATGTCTCCAGATCTTTAAGGCATGAACCACAGCTGCCAATTCCAAGTCATGAGTAGGATAATTCAACTCATGCTTCCTCAATTGTCTAGATGCATATGCCACCACTCTTCCTTCTTGCATAAGCACACATCCGAGACCCAAACGGGATGCATCACAATATATAGAGAAGTTCTTGCTTAAATCGGGCAAAATTAATACCGAGTCTGTAGTCAATCTCTTCTTTAACTCTTCAAAGTTTGCAGGCATTTATCCGACCATACATACTTAGCATTCTTTTCCAACAGAGTCAATGTCATATAGGCTTGGCTAGCTTGGAAAAACCTTCAATAAACCTTCGTAATATCCACTAATCCCAAAAAGCTACGAATCTCACTTACGATTGTTGGTGGTTTCCAATTCAAGACATCTTGTACTTTGCCCGGATCCACCGCTATTCCACCATTGGAGACAACATGAC